AGTTTTTTTATACAGTACCATGTTTGCACTAATTTAAATTTGGCCAAAAATTTGGCCAAGATCTAAGTTTTGCGTTTTGATGAGCTCTTCAGGACGTACCGTTTGTACTACAAACTTTAAATTTGAGTATGTTTTACATCAATGTATCTACTATGACAAAAATACTAAAATCAATGAGTTTTGTTTCAAAATTTTGAGATATTAACTTTTTTTTAAACAAAAAGTACCTGAAAATTGGCCAAGATTGAAGTTCTGTATTTTGATGAGCTCTTCAGGACGTACCACTTATACTAAAAACTTTAAATTTGAGTATATTTACATCAATGTATCTACTATGACAACAAATACTAAAATTGATGAGTTTTGTTTCAAAATTTTGAGATATTAACGTTTTTTTAAACAAAAGATACCTAAAAATTGGTCAAGATTGAAGTTCTGTATTTTGATGAGCTCTTCAGGACGTACCGTTTGTACTACAAACTTTAAATTTGAGTATGTTTTACATCAATGTATCTACTATGACAAAAATACTAAAATCAATGAGTTTTGTTTCAAAATCTTGAGGTATTAACGTTTTTTAAAACAAAAAGTACCTAAAAATTGGCCAAGATTGAAATTCTGTATTTTGATGAGCTCTTCAGGACGTACCATTAGTACTACAAACTTGAAATTTGAGTATATTTTACATCAATGTATCTACTATGACAACAAATACTAAAATTTTTGGATCTAGATCTAAATTTTGCATATTGATGAGGAAAATTAACTTCGTTTGTACTACAACCTTGAAATTTGAGTATGTTTTATATCAACGTGTATGGTTATGATTTTCCTCTCAGGCTTTCCAAGAGATTGTCTAAGAAATGAGCATTGGACAGAATGTGCATTAGGCGCAGCTTGCCAAATGAATTGCCCAAAAGTACTTGGTGAAGAACCAATCCCATTATGTTTGCCTGCAGAGCCTTGTCCAGGAGGTTGTGTCTGTGATGATGGTTACGTCAGAACTTCAAATACTGATCTTAATTGCATACCTCGAGAACAATGTGGTAAAGAAAAATATTCTTATAATGTATATACTTATTCTGCATTGTATGGCTCTTTTTCATCTCAAAGTGTAGCCATTTAAATTAGTGATCGCCCTGCTTCTAAGGCATCAATATCTAATATAATTCAATTCCTTTTAAAAGTCTATTGTCTTTAATTAAGGTCCAATCGTAATCATGCGCTGCATAAAATATGAGATGTGGGATGAATGTGGCATGAAAGAACATTGTCAAAACACGTGCATAATTTTGGGACAAAAACCATCTCCAATTTGTCCTGAAAACTGTACTGCCAGTTATGCCTGCATTGACGGATATGTTAGAACATCAGAAAATAATAGAACTTGCATTACAGAAGAGTATTGTGGTAAACAAATTCTAATGTCACACTAGGTAGCTCAGCACAAGCATAAAACATGAAGACGCCAATCACAGTATCAAACCTCTAATCACTAATACAAAATATCTTTATGTACCGATGTATAAAAAACATATCAATATGTTTTTTCTAATTATATTTCACTTACAGGATGTATAGAGCCAGTCCAATGCGGGCCATTTGAGCGAGAAACTGATTGTGGATCAATGTGCCAAGAAACATGTGCCCAAATATTAGAATTAGAAGAACCAAAAATGTGCCCCATGGTCTGTTTGCCAAATATGTGTGAATGCATTCCAGGATATGTGAGAATTTCACAAGACGACTGGATGTGTGTGCCAAGAGATATCTGTTGTGACATTTTCGGCAAATAAAAACAATTACACAAAGAATGTAAATGTAAAAATTCATGACTATAGAGCTTAGGTACATTTTGAGAGTTATCGAGTACTGGAATGAAATAAACAGATTGAAGAATAGATGTAAAGTATCTTTTACCTGTAATATTAACTTTTCATAATCACAATCACAATCAATGCACTATTTAATTAATTTAAACACTTTGCAAGCACATAAACAATTAACCGATAATTTGCAAATACAAACGTCTGACATTTTGCAAATACATGTGAAGGTAGGTACGAACTGTCAAACTTCACAAGCGTTTGAAACTTAATACTAACTTCACGTCTATCCTTTCAAACAGGTTTTGAATTTTCAAAATAGCAGAAATATTTTTCTTCTAATTAAAAAAAGCCTTGGGCTTTTTAAATATAACTTATAATTATACATAAAAGCAAACAAGGTTTTATTCTTTATAAAAACCCAACCGTTGCTCTGTATAAAATACTTAAACTGTTATAAAGCAATAAATTCGATTTGAGCGTGAAATTTGAAATTTAATACTAACTTCACGTCTATCCTTTCAAACAGCTTTTGAATTTTCAAAATAGCATAAATATTTTTGCACTTTTCTGCTAATTAAAAAAAGCCTTGGGCTTTTTAAATATGACTTATAATTATACATAAAAACTAACAAGGTTTTATTTTTTATAAAAACCCAACCGTTGCTCGGTATAAAATACTTAAACTATTATAAAGCAATAAATTCGATATGATGTGAAATTTGAAATTTAATACTAACTTCACGTCTATCCTTTCAAACAGTTTTTGAATTTTCAAAATTGCATTTTTAAATTTTGCATTTTTCTGTTAGTTAAAAAAAGCCTTGGGATTTTTAAATATAAGTTATAATTATACATAAAAACAAACAAGGTTTTATTCTTTATAAAAACCCAACCGTTGCTCGGTATAAAATACTTAAACTATTATAAAGCAATAAATTCGATATGAGCTTTGAAATTTGAACATTAATACTAACTTCACATCTATTCTTTCAAACAGTTTTTGATCTTTCAAAATAGCATAAATATTTTTGCACTTTTTTGCTAATTAAAAAATGCCTTGGGCTTTTTAAATATGACTTGTAATTATACATAAAAACAAACAAGGTTATATTCTTTACAAAAACCCAACCGTTGCTCGGTATAAAATACTTTAACTATTATAAAACAATAAATTCGATATGAGCTGTGAAATTTGAAATTTAATACTAACTTCACATCTATCCTTTCAAACAGCTTTTGAATTTTCGAAATAGCATAAATATTTTTGCACTTTTCTGCTAATTAAAAAAAGCCTTGGGCTTTTTAAATATGACTTATAATTATACATAAAAGCAAACAAGGTTTTATTCTTTATAAAAACCCAACCGTTGCTCTGTATAAAATACTTAAACTGTTATAAAGCAATAAATTCGATTGAGCGTGAAATTTGAATTTAATACTAACTTCACGTCTATCCTTTCAAACAGCTTTTGAATTTTCAAAATAGCAAATATTTTTGCACTTTTCTGCTAATTAAAAAAAGCCTTGGGCTTTTTAAATATGACTTATAATTATACATAAAAACTAACAAGGTTTTATTCTTTATAAAAACCCAACCGTTGCTCGGTATAAAATACTTAAACTATTATAAAGCAATAAATTCGATATGAGCTGTGAAATTTGAAATTTAATACTAACTTCACATCTATCCTTTCAAACAGCTTTTGAATTTTCAAAATTGCATTTTTAAATTTTGCATTTTTCTGTTAGTTAAAAAAAGCCTTGGGATTTTTAAATATAAGTTATAATTATACATAAAAACAAACAAGGTTTTATTCTTTATAAAAACCCAACCGTTGCTCGGTATAAATACTTAAACTATTATAAAGCAATAAATCGATATGAGCTTTAAAATTTGAACATTAATACTAACTTCACATCTATTCTTTCAAACAGTTTTTGAATTTTCAAAATAGCATAAATATTTTTGCACTTTTTTGCTAATTAAAAAATGCCTTGGGCTTTTTAAATATGACTTGTAATTATACATAAACAACAGGTTATATTCTTTACAAAAACCCAACCGTTGCTCGGTATAAAATACTTTAACTATTATAAAACAATAAATTCGATATGAGCTGTGAAATTTGAAATTTAATACTAACTTCACATCTATCCTTTCAAACAGCTTTTGAATTTCGAAATAGCATAAATATTTTTGCACTTTTCTGCTAATTAAAAAAAGCCTTGGGCTTTTTAAATATGACTTATAATTATACATAAAAACAAACAAGGTTTTATTCTTTATAAAAACCTAACCGTTGCTCGGTATAAAATACTTAAACTATTATAAAGCAATAAATTCAATATAAGCTGTTAAATTTGAAATTTAATACTAACTTCACATCTATCCTTTCAAACAGCTTTTGAATTTTCAAAATTGCATTTTTAATTTTTGAATTTTTCTGTTAATTAAAAAAAGCCTTCAGATTCCTAATTTTAACTTATAATTAAACTTAAAAACAAACAAGATGTTATTATAGAAACCTAACTGTTGCTCCATATAAAATATTTAAACTATTATAAAAAATCGATATGACTTTTTAAGACCCAATTACAAATTATGATAAACAAATGTTAAACATGTATAATTGGCTGACTCAAATATAATAGATAATTATATATTCTATTGCTGATATTAATTATTGCTTCAGTTTTATATCTGTTTGATATATGACAAAAAAAGTTGCATTAAGATTTTATAATTATATAATAAACAATTAAACATTTTGGAATTTTGATTTGTGATTTATTTATTTATTGATTGAAATATGAATGTGAGAAATGTACTAATAATATAATTTAGCAAGTATTAAGTTAAATTTATTTTATTACTTTAATATTTACCAAAACTAAATTACTTTAATTTCTATTTTATAAAAATAATTTTGATCATTCATCAGAAACCAATAAATATCTAAATAAACACATAACAATACTTAATATAAATTATAAGAAATATCCTTACAATTGTTTAGTAACTAATAACAACTCCAAAAAATAAATCAGCAGGATCAATTTTTATAAATCGACTTAAAATCATCACCAAATAAAAATTTGGTTTTGATACCAAAATATTTCTATCATTTTTCAGAGAGCAACTTGCTTAAACTAACTTTCTATTGAGTATCAATCACAATGTTTTAGAATTCTCGTCCTCCTCCAATTATTTTTGGTTAGCTAATAATATTTATAATCTACATTTTGTTTATAAATAAACTTCATCGAATGGCACTTTGTTGAAGAAGCGATTGGTGATTTCTAAGAAGATTTGTGCTAAAGAGTCTTCTAAGGCTGGTTGCACTTCCTTGAAGATTTCTTGCCAGTTTTCGTTGATGAAATTGTTCAAATTGTCGCCGAGGACTTTGTCGCCGTTGAAGAGGTTGTCGAAGTGCATGGTCACACTAAAGAGGAAAAGATTAATTAATATCCCGAAGAACTTTCCAGGAAAGTTTTAGACAAAGGTTAAATTTCATTCGTTATATTGATTATCGTGTCGGGAATATTGCAACAAGTTAATTTATTAAAACAAATTGAGTCAAAATTTACCGTTTTGCATTGAATTTAACATCAAACTGGTTCAGCTGCATATAGGCCTTTCCTTTCCTCTGGGGACGTTGGTCAGTTTCTTTGATGATAGGTAATATCAAGATCGTCTGAAAATTAAATGCAACATTGTGATTAATTTATACTCAAAATAATGCTTTCTCAGAAACAATGTTCATATTTAAATTATCCTATAAATATTAAAGTTGCTTAAGTCGTACCTAGCGCCTTAATCGTACCTAAAGCACTTTTTTGAAAAACGTAAAAATAAATATTTTAATAAGAAAAAAATCACTAATGGCTAAATATAAGCCAACTGTACAAAGATTCAATAGACTCAAGATTTTTTTTAAATTTCACTAAATATAGCATTCGTTTCTTAGGAGGTACGTGTTAGGAAACTATATATATATAGAGTCCGCCAAAAAAAATTTTTTTTGTTGAGAATGTTATAGAATTTTCAAAATTATTGATTATTTTCTCATACTCCTTTTTTAATTTGAAATATCAATCCTCCCGGTTAAAATAATTTCAAATTAAAATAATTTCATTCAAAAGGCTGCGTCAATATAAATTCAGCAGAATTTTCAAAAAAAAGGTAGACTCTGGCAAATCCTTTACACACACACACACACACACATATATATATATATATATATACCAGCTGACCCGGCAAACATTTGTTTTGCTAAGTAAGATATATTCTAAACAATTTCTAGAGAATAAAAAAAATACTTTTAGTGTATAAGGATTTGTTGTTGAATGCTGTATACAATGAGGTATTAAAAAACAATAAACCCCATTAGTTTGTCTATATTTTGTCAATACAATCAAACTGGAAGTTTTATACACTTCCTATAGAAAACATGGTATAATTCATTCAATCCAAGTTTTTTTGGTCTTTCGACTTATTGATTAAGTTTCAAGTTTCTCAGATTCTTTTTGGATTCTGGATTTTATGTATAATTGTAAATAATACTACTGAGCTTATTATATCACAACAAATAACACATTTAAAACGAACAATTATCTGACTACGTTCAGTAAAACTGCCAGCTACTTCATCATTGTAAAAATGTGCTGTTTTGCCGTCTTTTAAAAATTGTTTTTCTAGACCTTTTTACTCCATAGACGGGGTAATTTGGAACGGCGAGATGGCAAACAGGTTCAATGTCTTATTTTAATTTTACAGGTATTTTACATAGTAATTACGTTTTTAACTAATGCTAGAAAACTACCAACGGAAGAAAATACTTTTATTATGGATTTTCAAAGATTTTTGTTTATCTCCCGATAGCAAAGTCATGAGAATCAAGGTTATAGCTGGTTATACATCTTTTTCCCTCTACTTTCAAATATTGTTGTTAAACAATGCTTAACTTTTTTGGTCTTTGATACATCGATGATGGATCTTTTTATACCCGGACCTTCATATATTACTATCTATTCTTCGTTAAATTCTGGGAAATTATAACTGGGAAAATGTTATTCGACAAAATGTCCCTTTGATCGATACCAAATTTAGGTTCTGAATTTAAATAATATAAATAAAAAATAATATAACTTAGAAAATGTTTTATAAATACCAATGAGTATATAATTATACAAATAAGATCTTCCAGAACAGAAAAATATGCCAAAAAGTGCATTTTTATATTAACATTTCAAAAAAGTTGATATTTTGAATTTATAGTAACACTTGCGATCCGTTTAATAAACGGTTTTGTGTACAAATATGACTACGAACAAAACTACTTACTACAATTTAATAATAATTAAATGTATTCACGTAAAACATCCTATTAAACGTGAATTGAACAACATCTGTCAAAAACGTTTGACATTTGACGTATTAGCCACCGTCCATTGTTTTATTTAAATTACGCTTCTACAAAAATTTTCAAATTAAAAATGTAAAATCTCTACGCGTTTTTGAAATAATATCTCACCTTTCCGACAACCTACTGATTAGCATGAATTTTTCAAGGCTAAGACTGGCCAAATCGGTTCAGCCGTTTTCGAGTTTTAGCGGATCATTTGATCGAGAGCTACATTTTTATATTTAAGATTAGAGCAATTAAAAATATCAACTATCCTTACAAAGTGAAATATTGGCATCTCCGTCTCCTTGCACTGGCAAAACTAAAACTTGTCCATCAGCCTTGTACTTTCCTTTGACTTCAACCTTTGGAACATGCCCAGTTAAAACCCAAGACAATTGATCATCACCTTTGGATCTAAATATAAATTAATCGAATAAATAAAATAATATAAAGATCGACTCTAGATTCAAAAGTGCTTACTGTATTTTAACATTTTCTATAGTGGAGAATCCTGTAATATCCAGTTCCATAAGATCTAATTTCAGTCTGAAATTTCCTGCACCGGTATCGATATTGATTGCTGTCACGTGAAGAGGCTCCAAGGCATTTAGATTCAGTTTTCTGTCTCCTAGAAAAGTATCAGACTTGTTTAGTAAAATTAGTTAAAATTTAAATATTAAATTTTATGCTTACCATCCTTCAAAAGTCTCACAGAACGTTGAATGGCACTTTCAAGGCAATTTGTATCTTGAAATTTACACCTTGGTATTTCATTGGCTGAAAAATATAAAACAATATATAATTTAAAATATAATATTCATTAATAACATTCATATAACATTCATAATATTGTGTCAAAGTTTGTTATATTTATACTTTGCATTATTAATTTAAAGGTACTTCTAATATTTATATATAATTTAATTATTTCGGCTTATAGCCACAATTCTTTTTCATGTTGAAATTTTCTAAGGATAAACTTAATACTTTAAAAAATATTTACTTATATTTTTGTAAAGTTATTTATATATTGATTGCGTTTTGAAATAGTTTTATGTGTGAATAAGCCTAGAAAACACATAGATTAGAATACATAGATTATTAATACGATCGTAATATAGAGTTGCCCTAACATTTCTATTTTATCGGAGAATTGGGCCCATTATATTTATATACGTTTTATATTAAATCTTTCATTAATAAATTTATGCTCGAATTCAAAATTAATCTGTAAAAGAAAAACGAATAAAATCTTTTAACAATTTTGATTAAAATTAAATTTAATTAAAATTAAAAGTGAAAGGCACTCTACTGACGACCAAAATAAAATTAAAAGAAAAACAAACTCTGATGAAATCAATTTCGTGAGAAACAACAAATAGGACTCTACTGACACTCGAACTAATATATAAGAAAAAAACGGACTCTACTGACGAACAAATTTAACACGTTAAACGCCATGTCAGTTAAGGAGTTAGTTGAGAAGAAAAAGTTACAATATGAGGTCGTTTTGGCAAAAAAATTGTTCTTTGATACATTTTTAACTAAATCAAATTTAATAAATTTACCATGGTCTATATGGATATTTTTGAAAAAAAAAAAGACTTTTTGGAGAAAAATTTATTTTGAAATATTTTGGAAATTCTGAAATTTTTTTCAAAGCAATCGTACTGCTTTAACTGCGTAGAGATCAAACATCGAAGCGCGTAAGCGCCGCGCCGCCGTCTAACGGTTAAACATTGGTACGGGACCCATAGGAATATAAACAAAATTTATACTTATTGTTAAAATCTCTACAAAATATCTGATAATTTGATGTACATATGCCTAATGATGATTTTTGACCGCCAAATAGTATTTTTTTTACATTTTTTACTAGATCTCCGAAACCTCTAGACCAGCTTTCATGAAAATTAGATCAGTTCTTCATCTTGCTAATATAAAATGTTTTTTGAATTATTCAAATCGGATGCTCCGTTCCCTTAAAAACCGAGTTACCGTTTTTGGCACTTTTTGCCGCATTTCTTCGGAACGGCTAGACCTGCCTTCGCCAAAAACTAATCAGCACGTCTCCTTATCAATACGAATCGAATGTTTTTTGAATTATTCAAATCGCTTCATCCGTGTTCCCGAAATCGTCGACGAAAATTTGTATCCGCACACACATACATGCATGCACACACACACACACATATACACACACACATACATCAATTTTTTCTAAGGTATGCCAAAATGTTCAGAAGGATTTATAAAATATTCTTCTAAACATATAAAAGAGATATATAAAAATTTTCATTTTCGATTTTTTTGCGATTACTATAACTTGCTATACGGGAAGTTAATAAATTTATATTATTCATACGTATATTATCCACGAATTTATGAATGTTAAAATTTAATCAATTTTTTTAAAAATATTAGACAAAATATTTACATTATAAAATCACTTATTATACTATAAATAATGCAGAACAAAATAGAACACTTTTTATATCGTGGAAATATTTCAATTGTTGCTATAAATCACTATATACGTTCAATATCAATTTAGTGTTAATTTATTTTTCAACGAAAGTATTGATGTAAATAAATTAATTTATTACTAAATTTAGTATATTTATTTTTAGGTAAAATAGAAGGACTGAAAAAATTGGGAAGAAAAAGAAGGCAGATGGTCTGTTTTTACATGGTAGATTGGTTCTAGAAGAAGCCGCGTAAAAAAACTGTGTAAAAAAGACATTGATCTTATACAAAAATGGGTGATTTGTTCCTAATCTCTAAAACCTATTAAAATTAGTTAAAACAAGAATTTTTAGGGTATTTCCCTAAATTAGTGCTATTCACATTTGCTTTGACCAGTAAAAATTGTTTGTACGCGCTAAAGGGGAATTCACTTAAATCTTTAAGCTAGTGTTCACAAACTATCGATGGTTTCAGACTTTTTTCTTTCATAAATACTTTTTGTGATATCAACATACTTCGCAAAAATTAAATTTGACAAAAAAAAAGAGTGCGCGTAAGGATCACACGCGATTGAAGTAAAACTTTTAATATTGTATGAGGTAGGCAATTAAGATAAAAATAAAAAAACATCATATTGAATTTTAAAAATCATCTTTTAATAATCATATAACATCATAATAATAAGATCTCCTGAGCATCGGCACAGCTGTCCTACTGATATTAAGAGTTTGAATATGATGTGAAGCTTTCTTCCTAATTTTGTTACCTATCTTACCGGAAATTCAAACCATAAACGTAGAAGTTCATCATTATCGCCACGTTCTATGTACACTAATTTTCCCACACAACCATTAGCTAAGCCATCACTTACATCAATATTAGTTGTTATTATGTAAAATTTATTCAGAACTAAAATTATTTCATACGGCAAAACCCCCGGTATCAATAACCGATTTTTTTGAAACTGCTGACGAATGTATGATTGTTGATCTGTCGCATGGCAACCTACATAAATATCCGTGGCAGTAGATATTATTTTGTCTTCAACGAGATTCAATATAAATTTATTATATTCCATGGCACATTTATTCTCTAAGAAAAGTCTTATTCCATGAGGACATAACATAAAAAACGTGATCAATTAATGCAAGTTCATATAGGGTTTAGCGCTCGACTTACGCATGACATGACGCGATATGAGTGGATACTCGCGACATCAGCGCTTACGGCGTCGTAGTGTTCAACTACACGTTGGCATTTTCGTTGCATTTGTACGGATTTACACCCGTGTCGCGCCTAAAAATTTTTACACCCATATCGCGCCTAAAGAAGTTTTTACTTCAAAAATTAAGTACATAAAATTTCAAATCGTGCTAAATGGAATAAAATCGTGTAAAAAAATTAAAAATATTCAATTTTCAAACTGTGTTATATCAAAACCGTGTACAAAAAGACTGTGTAAAAACAGACTTAGGTGTACAGGGAATTGAAAAATTAAGCACAGGAAGCAAAAGTTTGGAAAGAAAAATGCATAGGAGTGTCTAAAAAAGTGACTAAAGGTAATGTGAATAATTAACAAAGGAGGGAAAAGGGGGATTCGTGATGCTCTCATACCTTTGGGCAAACTACCATTTATTATTATTATTTATTTATATCACCACTCAGAACCATAACACCAACAATAAATTATAATGTCGAAACTCACGTAATTTAGCGGCACTGCAGATAGCGACAGCAATAACGCAAACAAACAAAATCGTCTTCATTGCGGATAAACCAAATATAATTTAATTTATTAAACTAATAAAATTTATTAGAATCTTTCGACCTCTCTCCGTTAGTGATCAGTGGTCAGTGTCAATTCGATACTAATTTATCGGAAGCGTCACGATCGCCTTTTATACTTTGCCCGGATGTCGTGAGCGATTGACCACCAATAAAACTCTACTAACAAAACAACCTGTCTTCAGGTAAAATCATTCATTAGTCGCAGGTGAGTGTGTGCGTGTGTGCGTGTGCGTGAGCTGAGGAAGATGTTGCATTTTCTGCACTACGAAATATTAAATGAACTCACAATCAGTTAATACAGTTGTTAATGTATAGTATAAAATTTAATATCATTTTTTGTTAGCTCAACATTTTTAACTTCCCGTAGGGCAAGTTATAGTAATTGCAAAAAATCGAAAATGAAAATTTTTATATATCTTTACGTTTCAGAGGTTTCTGAGCATTTTGGCATACCTTAGAAAAAATAGATGTATGTGTGTGTGCATGTATGTATGTGTGATTTCAGGAACACGGATTAACTGATTTAATATAATTCAAATATAATTTAGAATAATTCAAAAAACAATCGATTCGTATTGATAAGGAGACGTGCTGATTAGTTTTTGAGGAAGGCAGGTCTAGCCGTTCCAAAGATACGGTGCAAAAAGTGCCGAAAACGGTAACTCAGTTTTTAAGAGAACGGAGCATCCGATTTGAATAATTCAAAAACCATTTCACTTGTATTGACAAGATGAAGAACTGATCAAAGGCAGGCCCAGCGGTTTCAGAGATCTGATGAAAAAAGTAAAAAAAATGCCATATGGCGGTCAAAAATGATCATTAGACATATGCACATCAAATTATCAGATATTTTATAGAGATTTTAACAATAATTATAAATTTTGCTTGCATTCCCATCGGTTCCATACCGTAAAATGTTGATAGTTTTTAAAAAAATAATATTTCGTACGGAAAGTTCCAGCAATTTGCCTTAAGACTAGATGCCATGCGCCTCACTAGTTTAAATGAATTTACAAACTAGTGGAGTGTATAGCATCTTGCCTAAAGGCAAATTGCTGGAACTTCCCGTACCGTAATGAAATATACGAGAAATTTTAAACGTTTTCAAATATATTATCACAAATACTGTAACTTTCATTATTTTTGCTATCTTCTTGTTATATCTGAGCAAATCAAATGTGAATCATAAATAAATCAATTTATCTCCAGAACATCAACAATCGTCATTTCATTTCAAATTCAATTTAAAAAAAAATATTTGCCTAATTTGCACAAAATTTAAAAAGTGCTCCCGCATAGTCACAGTCTAAACGCATTTTCAAATAATTCTGTGCGACATTTTAACTTATACTGTGCTTAGCTTGGCGGCATTTTCACATTTTTCAATAGTTTTCACAAAATTGGAAAAGTGCTACAGTGCATAAGCAGTCTAAACGCACTAGGGTAAACATTTGTACCAGAGTGGCGCTTAGATTGTGCTTAGTCTGGGTAATTTTTTGAGTTTTTTTAAATCCAAAATTACAAAAATATTTTATGGACAATAAAAAAAGATGTAATAATGTTCCATTTATCCTCAAAAGCAATTGTTTTGTTAATCAAACAGAAAGTTTTTTAGATCATTCAAATCGGACGCTTAGATCACTCAAAAACTGCCATTTTTTGTACATTCAGCTCTGTATCTGCGAAATGGCGGAACCTGTCTTTGCCAAAACCTAATCGCCTCTTCTTCCAATCATTACAAATTTTAGATCATTCAAATCCGATACTGCGTTCTCTCAAAAACTCGATTTGTATTTTCTGCACTCTTTGCTCCGTATCTCCGTAACGACTGAACCTGCCTTTACCAAAAACTAACCAGCACATTTCCCTATCAATAGGAATCGAATGTTTTTTGAACCATTCAAATCGGTTGATCCGTGCGCCCGAAAACGAAATAGTGGGGTGTATGGCATCGTTCCTTAAGGCAAATTGCTGGAACTTCCCGTACCAAAAATAATTATTTTTTTGACAACGGTACGGAACCCATAGGAATGTAAACAAAATTTATACTTATATCTGATAATTTGATGTGCATATGTCTAATGATCATTTTTGAACGCCAAATGGCATTTTTTTTTCTTTTTTTGATAGATCTCCGAAACCGCTAGACCTGCCTTCATGAAAATTTCATCAATTCTTCATCTTGTCAATACAAGTAAAATATTTTTTGTATTATTAGAATCGGGCGTTCCGTTCTCTTAAAAACTGAGTTACCATTTTTGGCACTTTTTGCCTCGTGTCTACGGAACGGCCTTTGCCAAAAGTTAATCAGCACGTCTCCTTATCAATACGAATTGAATGTTTTTTGAATTATTCAAATCGGTTGATCGGTGTTCCCGAAATCGTCGACAAAAATTTGTATCCGCACACACACACATACACGCACATACATCCATTTTTTCTAAGGTATGCCAAAATGTTCAGAAGGTTTTGAAACGCAAAGATATATAAAAATTTTCATTTTCGATTTTTTTACGATTACTATAATTTGCCCTACGGGAAGTTAAAAATTGTATCCATCATACATACATACACACAAACACACATCCATTTTTCTGAGGTATGCCAAAATGTTCAGAAACCTTCAAAACGTCGAAAAATGTAAAAACTTTCAATTTCGATTTTTGGACGATTACAATAACTTACCCTACGGGAAGTTAAAAATCAATTGTTCTAATGAATGTACTTGTAGAGATGATCCAATGAAAATGAATACATGATGTGAGAATCATTCCAAATGAGTTTGTCTGAAATATTGATTATTTTTGAAGTATAAATAATTAAGTTAAAAATATTAGACAAATCATTCACATTTAACAAATATTTTATTGCATAAACTACTAATACATATCACAACAAATAGGAGAAATAGTTGTAAGAAAGTTCATACTCACGCTTCTCCGAACATTAACAACTATCTTCTCATTTTCACAAAATATTCATTGAAAATTTTCTGTTTATCTACGTTACTTTAGAATTTCTTAATTTACAAATAGATTTCTTCAGCTGGTACTTTGTCGAAGACACGATTCGTGATTTCCAAGAAAATTTGGGCCAAAGACTCTTCTAAGGCTGGTTGCACTTCTTTGAAGACCTCTGGCCAATTTTCATTGATGAACATATTTAAATTGTCACCTAGAACCTTGTCACCGTTGAAGAGATTTTCGAAGTTCATAGTTACACTAAAACCAAAATTTTATATTAAACAGATGAATTATGTAAAGTAAAACTGGGTTAAAAAGTACTTACCGTTTTGGTGTGAATTTTACATCAAATGTGTCTAAGTGCATATAAGCTTTGCCTTTCCTTTCAGTACGCTTGTCTTCTTCTTTGATGATCAGGAATATATCTAAATCATCTGAAAAATATGTATAATTTAATAAGATTTTAAAAAATCCAGAATTTAAACATAAAAATTAGTTTTAACTATTTATTAACTTCCCGAAGGAAAAGTTTATGTTTCATCAAAAAAATCCGATTCGCTAATTTTATGATTTCTCGACGTTTCAAGCCATTCTGAATCGAATGAGACCAAATTTGGAAAAAGTATGTGTGTGTGTGTGTGAACAGATTTTTTGCCGTAAATCGACGTTTTCTCAAAAATGCCTGAACCGATTTCAGGAATTTGAAAGCCATTTGATGTATCTCGATGAAGACTATCGTTGTCAGTTTATGCGACGATCTGACAAGCCCTTTCTTTGTAATTTGAATAAAGTGTTAAGTTTTTTCGTCCACATTTAAGCTCATACTACCGAATCGATTTGGGAATGATACTGATTTGTTTTAGGTGAAATCGACTGAGCCGTTTCTTGTAATTTGTTGTCGAAAAAAAAAAATTTAAGCCGATTTTATGAAACTTTTTTGATGATATATATCATGGTCTTATACAACTTATTGAAATATTATGATCTTACTACAAAGTAGTTTAATTTTAAAAATTCATCAAAGTTTTAGAAAATGAGTAGTTTTTTTGACGTTTGTTAAAATAAAATTAGACGATTTTACTTGGTATAACGATAGAGTACTTGGTCTTAATGAACATATCAAGCCATTAAAGTCCTATGGAAATGGTTCAATTATAACAATTGTTGATTTCTAAAAATTACTTTTAGAAAATACTCCGTGTCAAAGTGTTCGCTCGTTTTCAATTATATGTAATAAACCCACTCGGAATACTTTTAATCACCATAAATCAATTTAGTTTTTATTGATTTAGTCGATTAATTACACATATCGGGGAAGTTCATGTAACTTGCCTCAAGGCAAAAAATACAAAACCAACTAGTTCTTACATAAAGTAATGAGAGCATCTCCTTCCCCTTGCACAGGCAAAACTAAAACTCGTCCATCAGCCTTGTATTTGCCTTTAACTTCAATTTTGGGAACATGTCCTGTCACTTCCCAATGCAACCTATTATCTGATTTCGCTCTGAAATAACAATAGTAAAATCAATATTACTTTAACAATATTTTCACTTGTAAACTACGTTATTCTAAGGTTTTGTACGCCGGTAAATCCACTAATATCGCAGTCCTTCAAGTCCAATTGCAATCTGAAATTTCCTGCTCCTGTGTCTATGTTGATGGCGTTTACATGAAGTGGTTCCAGAGGGATTAAATTTATTTTTCTGTTGCCTAAAATAATACTTAAGATCAGTAAATTATTTGTTAGTATTAATATTATTTAAATTACCATCTTTTAATATTCTAACAGATTGTTCGACTGCGTTTTCAAAACAAGGAGTGTCCTCAAATTTACATCTTGGTAGATTTTCAGCTACAAACGAAAAAAAAATATTAGTAATTTATTTTAATAAAGTATTAATAATAATATTTATTTACCAAAAAAATTTTTTTATGTATCATTACGTTTCTGAGACAGGACATGACAGGTAGAAAAGGAACTAGGTGAAGAGGAAGACAGGTAGACAAAAAGTCAGGTACACAGGTAGACAAGTAGATAGGTAGATATATAGAGAGGTAGACAGGTTGACAGGTAAATATATAGACAGGTAGATATGAAATCAGGTAAATAGATAAAAATATAACTAGTTGGTATTGGTATTTGTCTTGAGGCAAGTTACATGAACTTCCCGATATGTGTAAATAATCGACATAATCAGTATAAAAATAAATTAATTAATGAGTGATTAAAAGTATTCCGAGTGGATTTATTACACATAATTGAAAGCGAGCAAACACGTTAACTCGGAGTATTTTCTAAAAGCAAATTTTCAAAAATAAAAATTTTTTTATAATTGAACCAGTTTACCGTAGGACTTTAATGATTAGTATGTTATTAAGACCAAGTACTCTATCGTTATACCAAGTAAATCGTCTAATTCTAATTTTTACAAACGTCAAAAAAACTACTCATTTTCTCAAACTTGATGAATTTTTAAAATTAACTACTTGTCGTAAGGCCGTAATATTTCAGTAAGTTCTATAAGACCATGATATACATCGCCAAAAAAAAAGTTCCATAAAAATCGGTTTAAATTTTGTTCAACAGTTAATTACAAGAAAACGGCTCGGTAGATTTTCACCTAAACTAAACAGTATTATTCCCAACTAATATCTTTCGAACAGTTTTTGTTTTTTTTTAAATCGATTCGGTAGAATGAGCTTAAATGTGGACGAAAAGTTTAACACTTTTTTTTCAAATTACAAAGAAACGGCTCGCAGATCACGAACTGAAAAACTATAGTCCTCATTGAGTTACATCAAATGACTTTTAAATTCTGAAAACGGTTCATTCGTTTTCGAAAATGTCGATCAAAGGTCTAATTTTGACAAATGCCAAAAGAACGATACTAATTTTTGCAAATTTGAATAATTTTTAAAATTAAATGTCCGTAATATTTTAGTATGATCTACAAGACTATGATATCTACCGTCAAAAAAAATCATAAAAATCGCGGAATTTTTTTTAAAAAACTTTATTACAAGAAAACTAATCAGCACGATTCCCAATCAATATCTATCGAACGGTTTTTGAATTTTCAAAATCGATTCAGAATTGCGGGCTAAAACGTGGACGAAAAATGTTACACTTTTATGCGATTTATAAAGAAATGGCCTGGCTGATCATCACACAAAACTCAGAAACGCTAGTTCTCATAGATACATCGAATGGCTTTTAAATTTTTGACTTTTTCCAAATTTCGTCTCATTCGATTCAGAATGGCTTGAAAAGTCGGAAAAATATAGAATTAGTGTTTCGGATTCCTTCGGGAAGCTAAATATGGTAGGCATACGCAAAAGTGATTTAATTATAAAAGTTTGAAATAATAGATCATACACAATTTGTATCTAAATAGCTTAATTGCTTAATTTTATCAAATATGCCCTCTCTTCACAAGTATCGGAAAGTTTAAACAACTTGCCATAAGGCAAAAACGCCAGTCACATCTAGTTTAATATTTCTTGGTGTCATCAAAATAATATCAACACTTCCAATACAAAAATATTTATTACGTTTCCTTAATTTACTAAATGTCTAAATAACTCACTCAAATAATATAGACCAAGTAAAAAAATAAAACGTTTCCCCAAAATATTTGTATCAATTATCCAACTCACGTAATTTAACTCCATTACTGCATGCCACTGCAAGTGCACAAACTAACAAAAACCTCTTCATTTCAAATAAATTAAATTTGCAATTAATTATCTAACTAAATTTTCGAAAAAATCGATTTCAATCGACCTACAACCTTGTGTTGTCTCTAAAAAACTAATCTCGCCCTACCAACAGATTCCTCTTTTATATGTAGAAAAGTGACTGAAACCTGTCTTGCTTTATAATCATTTTATTAACATTGTATTCAGAAATACAAAATAATGAATTCTACAAAATCACATTTGATGTTTTTTTTAAATAATAATATATCAGGTTGCCCGATAAATATAAGATGATATGTTAAATAATTCAGTAATTAAATTAAATAAAGCAGACTTATATATACACAAACTAGATATGGTTGTGTCTTTTTTAACTTCCCGTAGGGTAAGTTATTGTAATCGTCTAAAAATCTAAATTGAAAATTTTTGCATTTCTCGACGTTTTGAAGGTTTCTGAACATTTTGGCATGCCTCAGAAAAAATGGATGTTTGTGTGTGTACGTATGTATGGATACAAATTTTTAAACCGATCTGAATGGTTCAAAAAACATTCGATTCCTATTGATAGGGAGATGTGCTGATTAGTTTTTGGCAAAGACAAGTCCAGCCGTTACGAAGATACGGAGCAAAGAGTGCAGAAAATACAAATCGAGTTTTTGAGAGAACGCAGTATCGGATTTGAATGATCTAAAAAACATTCAATTTGTAATAATTGGGAGAAGAAGTGATTAGTTTTTGGCAAAGACAGGTCCCGCCATTTCGAAGATACAGTGCTAAATGTGCAAAAAATGGCAGTTTTTGAGTGAACTAAGCGTCCGATTTGAATGATCTAAAAAACTTTCTGCTTGTATTGACAAAACAATTGCTTTTGAGGATAAAAAATTATTACATCTTTTTTTTTATTTTCCATAAAATATTTTTGTAATTTTGGATTAGAAATTCAAAAAATTACCCAGGCTAAGCACAGTCTAAGCGCCACTCTGGTACAAATGTTTACCCAAGTGCAGTTTAGACTGTTTATATATTGGAGCAATTTTCCAATTTTGTGAAAACTATTGAAAAATGTGCAAAATGCCGCCAAGCTAAGCACAGTATAAGTGAAAATGTCGCACAGAATTATTTGCAAATGCTTGTTTAGACTGTGACTATACGGGAGCACTTTTTCAATTTTGTGTAAATTAGGCAACTATTTTTTTTTTGAAATTGAATTCGAAATGAAATGACGATTGTTAATGTTCTGGAGATCTAAAAATTGATTTATGATTTACATTTGATTTGCTCAGATATAACAAGATAGCAAAAATAATGAAAGTTACAGTATTTGTAATAATATATTTGAAAACGTTTAAAATCTCTCGAATATTTCATTACGGTACGGGAAGTACCAGAAATTTGCCTTAAGGCACGATGCCATACACCACTAGTTAAATTTTTATTTCATCAAAACAGTTTTTATTATACATATATTAAAACAGCATACACATATACAATAATAAACATAAAAATATCGCATGCATTCGTTTTCTTCCATCATTTACAATTTCTCACAAACAACCATTCATACCAATCTATACTCATAATTTTTTGCTATCTACCTTAATAATTTAGATTTTCTTAATTTACAAATAGACTTCATCAGCTGGTACTTTGTTGAAGACACGATTCGTGATTTCCAAGAAAATTTGGGCCAAAGACTCTTCTAGGGCCGGTCTGATTTCCTTAAAGAGCTCTGGCCAATTTTCATTGATGAACATATTTAAATTGTCACCCAAGACTTTGTCACCGTTGAAGAGGTTGTCGAAGTGCATTGATACCCTGAAAAAATAAACAAATTATTAAAGTAATAATGATAATCTTAATACATTTTATATATGAGTCACATATCCACATTTTTTAGAAATTGGTATGCAGAATTCTCAATATTTTTTGTGGAAACTTGTTGTTATTGATTTGTTATCTATATTTGTTAAAATATTGTTTAAAATTTATTTAATCTATGTTGGTAATATTGATCCTTAAAAAAAACGATCACGTGATTAAAAAACAGTCCTTAAAACAATGGCAACACATAAAAATGTGTAAAATAAAACTGTGTAAGCAATTTTTACTATTTATAAAAGTACTTACCGTTTTGGTTCGAATTTTACACCAAATTGGTCTAATTTCATATAAGATTTGCCTTTCCTTTCAGTACGCTTGTCTTCTTCTTTGATAGTCAGCAAAATATCTACATCATCTGAAAAAGTAAAAAAATACAAAATAATCAATGATTAGTTATACGATTATATCTTCGATTCATTTATTATATCTTCATAGCACGCAAATATTTGGACCAAAACTTTTTTTTACTAATTTTCATGACATTTCTACAATAGTTATTAATTTTAAAATTGGAACATTGGAAAACTGAAAATAAATTAATCAAACATTTTGTCTCTATTTATTTATTTAGACTCTACTCTAAATTTTTTTCTCTAATTAGTATGCTTTTTAATCAACCAAGTTCATGATCAGTTTATTATTAATTAATGCAGAGTTCTGAATTCGTCCAATCATGTTTTAAAATGCCAAATGTTAAATGTACCAATATAAAAAATGGCAAAAAGTAATTATATAACGCGTGTATTTTTTTATAAAGATCAGATCAATTTTCACATGGCTCATGATAACTTTTTTATATAATTTAGTTAAAAATGTTTAAAGAAAACCTAATGCATCAAAAGATTTATATTTATACCAAATCGTGTATGTCTGACATGGTTCCTTTAAAACTGTTTGGTGTCAGTCACATACGACTGACATTGGTAAGGCAGAAATCTAGTAAAAAAAGTATAAAAAGCCATTTGGCGGTCATAAATGATCACTAACGTGTTAAATATAAAATTAGATTAATCACGTGATTAATAATTATATTAATCAACAATGAAAAATTATTAACTTCTCGTTGGGCAAGTTATAGTAATCGCAAAAAATCGAAAATAAGATTTTTTATATATCTTTACGTTTCAAAGGTTTCTGAATATTTTGGCATACCATAGAAAAAATGGATGTATATGTGTGTGTGTGTGTGTGTGTACGTGTGTGCGGATACAACTTTTCGTCGACGATTTCGGAAACACGGACGAAGCGATTTAAATAATTCAAATAATATTCGATTCGTATTGATAAGGAGACGTGCTGATTAGTTTTTGGCGAAGGCAGGTCTAGCCGTTCCGAAGATAGGGCCAAAAAGGGCCAAAAACTCAGTTTTTATGAGAACGGAGCGTCCGATTTGAATAATTCAAAAAACATTCTTGTATTAACAAGACGAAGACTAGCGGTTTCGGAGATCTAGTAAAATAAGTAAAAAAAAATGCCATTTGGCGGTCAAAAATGATAATTAGACATATGCACATCAAATTATCAGATATATTATAAAAATTTTAACAATAAGTATAAATTTTGTTTACATTCCTATAGGTTCCGTACCAATGTTTATTCGTTAGACGGCGACGCGGCGCTTACGCGCTTCGATATTTGGTCTTCATGCAGTTGAAGCAGTACGATTGCTTTGAAAAAAGTTCCGAATTTCCAAAATATTTCAAAATAAATTTAATTTTCAAAAAGTCTTTTCAAAAGAAGTAAATTTTTATCAAAAATTTATAGTCTCTCAAAAATCTAATTTATTCAGAGTAAATTTTTTTCAAAAATGTTAATCTTTTTAAATAAAAATAATTTTTAGTACGGGAAATTCCAGCAACTTGCCTTAAGGCACGATGCCATGCGCCCCACCAGTTTTGTTAACTATTACAAAATATTTCTATCTAGTAGTAATACTCTTGGATTAAGATATCAGCATTGTAGTTTTAAACTATCTATTTGATAATGAAAGCTTTAGTTTATAACAATTATAAATTCTCACATAAGGTAATCCTGGCATCTCCTTCCCCTTGCACTGGCAAAACTAAAACTTGACCATCAGCCTTGTATTTGCCACTAATATCAACTTTAGGAATATTTCCAGTGACAGCCCAATGCAACTTACTGTCTGATTTCGCTCTAAAAAAGCAACAATCACTATTAGTATCATTATTAGTATAAAAATATTTTATACTTACGATATTTTAAGGTTTTGTACGCCAGTAAATCCACTAATATCGCACTCTCTCATGTCCAATTTCAATCTGAAGTTTCCTGATCCTGTGTCTATATTGATGGCGGTTATATGAAGTGGTTCCAGAGGGATTAAATTTATTTTTCTGTTGCCTAAAATAATATTTCAGATCAGTAAATTATTTGTTAGCATAGATATTATTTAAAGTACCATCTTTTAATATTCTAACAGATTGTGCTACTGCAGATTCAAAACAGGGAGTGTCTTCGAATTTACATCTTGGTAGATTTTCAGCTGCAACGGAAAAAAATTATAATCAATATGATAGTTCGAAAGATATCAATTGGAAATTGGATTGATTAGTTTTTAGTAAAATCGAAATAAAGAGCTAAAATATAAGGTTGTCAAATATCTCCATTCCGCCTTTTTGTATTATAAACCAAGAGCAAAAAAGCGGAAGGGAGATATTTGACAACCTAATATTTATCACAAAATTAAAACTGAATTTTTATTGACTTGGTTCACACAGGCAAAATGCTACTCAGGCCTAGTTTAATTTTTCTTGGTATTATCAAAATAATATTAACACTTCAAATAAAAAAATATTCATTTTCCTTGATTTACTAAATATCAAGTAACTAGTGTTGCATGGCATCGTGCTTTAAATGCTGGAACTTCCCGTACCGAAAATTAAATTTAAAAAAGAAATTCACTTCTTTTTAGAACTTCGAAAAAAATAGATTTGAGAATTTTAAAAATTTTAATTTTTTTTGAAATACTTGATTTTTTTATACATTGAAATATGTTGAGAAAATTGAACTGTTTTAAAGCAATCGCGACACGTTAGCTGCGTAGAAATGAAATATCGAAGCGCGTAAGCGCCGCGTCGCAGTCTAACGGATAAGCATTGAAATGTAAACAAAATTTGTTCTTATTATTAAAATATCTATAAAATGTCTGATAATTTGATGTGCACATGTCTAATGCTCATTATTGTCCGCCAAATGAATTTTTGTAGGTTGTTCATTTCGTCAATACAAATAAAATGTTTTTTGAATTATCCAAATCGGATACTCCGTTCTCTCAAAAACTCGATTTCTATTTTCTGCACTCTTTGCTCCGTATCTCCGTAACGGCTGGACCTGCCTTTGCCAAAAACTAATCAGCACATCTCCCTATCAATAGGAATCGAATGTTTTTTAAACCATTCAAATCAGTTGATCTTCAAATCGACGAAAAATTGTATCCATCCATACATACATACACACACACACTCATCAATTTTTTGAGGTATGCCATAATGGTCAGAAACCTTCAAAACGTCGAGAAATGTAATTTCAATTTCGATTTTTGGACAATTACAATAACTTACCCTACGGGAAGTTAAAAATTGCCAAAATATTAGTATCCAACTCACGTAATTTAACTCCATTACAGCAAGCCACTGCAAGTGCACAAATTAACAAAAACCTCTTCATTTCAAATAAATTAAATCTACAATTAATTATCTAACTAAATTTTCAAAAAATTGATTTATATCGACCTATAACCTTGTACTTTTTTTGAAAAACTAATTTTGCACAACCACCAGATGCCTTATTTATATGTGCAAATGCAACTGAACCTGTCTTGCTTTTTAATCTTTTTCTCAACATGGTATTCAGAAATGCTTAAATAATTCTACATTTTGATGTTTTTAAAATGTAAATAAGTTGGATAAGTATAAAACGAATAAATTTTTGGTAATATGTATGTTAACTATCCAATCAAAAAGTTTCGTAGAAACGTTCAATTAATGCATACTTAAAACACATTTCTGTGTTGGTTGAAAAATTTGATATAAAATAAGATATGTAAAATTTACAATTAGTCGGTAGATTTTCACCTAAAACTAATCAGTATCATTCCCAACTAATATCTTTCGAACAGTTTTTGATTTTTCAAAATCGGTTCGGTAGTATGAGTTTAAATGTGGACGAAAGGTTTAACACTTTTTTCCAAATTACAAAGAAACGGCTCGGCCAATCGTCGCACAAAACTGAGAAACGATAATCCTCATCGAGATACATCAAATGGTTTTTAAATTTCTGAAATCGGTTCAGGCGTTTTTGAGCAAACGTCGATGAAAAGTCTAATTTTGACAAATGCCAAAAAGACCATACTAATTGTTGCAAACTTTGACGAATTTTTAAAGCTAAATGAGTTGTCGTAGGGCCATAATATTTTAGTATGATCTAGAAGACTATGGATCTACCGTCAAAAAAATAATAATAAAATCGGCTTTTAAATTTTTGAAATCGGTCCAGCCGTTTGTGAGAAAACGTCGATTTACGGCAAAAAACCTGTTCACATACACACACACACACACATACTTTTTCCAAACTTGGTCTCATTCGATTCAGAATGGCTTGAAACGTCGAGAAAACATAAAATTAGCGAATCGGATTTTTTATGAAAACATAAACTTCTCCTTCGGGAAGTTAATGATATGTTGCATGACTAAATGCTTTAAGTGAACAAACGAATTTAAAAATAATACTAAGAACTGTCCGACTTATGCTAATACGCATTTTTATGCCAAATAATTTTCGATGATTTTCCTAAGAATTCCTACGTAGAATAATATTTAATTTTTATTATTTACGTTGAATTTATATCATTTCTATAATGAATCGAGGAACAAAATGTCCTTAATCGAAAACCAGACATTACTAATTATTTATTCTCATTATTGATTTTAAGTTTTACAATTTTCTCCAACAAATATAAATTATTCCGTTAGTTCTAATTATCTCTGAGTTAAAATGTTGTTCTGTTCATCGACGACTTCAACGAGACCCCGGAGGGCCCCCCGAGGTTAATGGAATATTTTGATGAAATAATAATAATAAATCACATTACACTTCTGGATAAATATTGTTGGCATTGGGAAAGACGAAGTGCAATTGCAAAAAAAAATACTTGAAATAATTTGATATATGTGATATTTTGGTTAAAAATAAATTGCAGAGCCATTTCGACATTATTTGTCCTGCGTTCGAGTCTGGTAGAATTTATATAATAAATTTGATTAAAATATTTATTGATGTATTGAATTTTATATAATCTAAGGTTGATGTCGTGCGTTTTTCTCGTCTATTGCCATTTGTTGCATTATGATAATTTTTGCTTGAAAAATAGTTATTTTCGAATCTTACGCACAAAGTTATTTGCTCAATGCATTATCATCATTAACTTGAACGATTTGCAAATCGATTTTGCTGATGCATCTCTTGCATATATGTATATGCAAAAACATGCACTTTTGTATATTTACATTTTTATTATATCCAGAATTTGATAAATTTTTGACGAGTTTGCAAACACGGATCAACCGACTTAATTTGCTCTACTAATAAGTAAATAACATTTTTCATATTTATTTTTACCCCATGAAACTATTAATCTTAACTTGGCACCTGATAATATATTTTAGTCAAGTCTTCCAAATGCATTTGTTCATTTTATAAAAAGAAAAGATGAAGACTTTGTCTGTCATTCATTTTATATGATTTTATATTTGATAAGTGAATCGGCGGCATCAATTTATTTAGATATTAACCTTGGATCACGAAACCTGTCTTTGATTTGTGTATATTTATTTATTTATGTTTGGCATAGAGATGGTGAACATAAGTGGTAAATGATTTTTTTAATAATATAATAGAGACATATTAGTTTAGCAAATAATTAAAGTATTTGCATGCTCATTTATTACATAAACGGAGTAATTTGACTTTAAACTTACACGACATTAAGAACTCTTGAAAATTAGATAATCATTTTCACGAAACTGAAGCATGGATATATTATTTATTAATATCGTTACTATTTTTTATATCCCATTATACTATGTTCAAATTATATTTTGTCTTAATTATATTATCCAATTTCTATGCCAGTAGTATATTTTCAATGTTTCAATTTCAATGTTGCATAGTTTTTGGAAGTAAATAATACTATAATTATTTTTCAAAATTCTTATTATTTCAAAAAGATTAAATAATACAATTCGTGTTAATTCAAGGTTGACAAAAAATGGGATTCGTAGTAAAACGAAATATAAAGTTTTAATTTAACCGGTTTTTGTCAATTCGATTTTTACTCTTCTGTATATAGAATATATTAACAAACTTTTTACGAGATTCTTATTTCTTTGTCTTTGTCTACAATTTTGCATTACCTAATTAGCATTTAGATTGACTGAGGATAAATATTTAAAGTAACATAGATACATTTTTAATTCTTTTAATTTGTTTTATATCCATTTAGTCCATAGAAGAAAGTAATGCAAATTGCTTTTACTTTTGAAACTCCTTAATAAAAAAAAATCGATTCGTTTCCTGATTTATAAGTGTCAATTATATATATGTAACTTTTATTAAAATTAAGACCATAACATAATAAATATTATAATAAAATTATTAAATAATCACTATGTTTACTCGATTTCCCGAAAAAACATTAAAACTAGCACATCAGTTTGATTGGATTTTTGTTGACCATTTAGTTTAAGAAAATAGAACCGTTTAATAAAAATTGGACAACTTAGGCATAATTAATGTCATTCAATAATTATTAAATATTCTTAAAAATTTATCCAGAATGTTAAATTTTAATAATAAGCATGTCACAAAATTTAAAATTTGC